TCTTCACTTTGCAAATGGGATTTTGACAAATGATTGTATTTCATCAATTCCAAAATGAAATTTAAAGAGATGCTTTTGATCTTTGAAATTTGAATGAATCTTTTAAAAAGTTTTATTTACTTGTTTGGTTGTGCCGGGTCTTAGCTGTGGCACCTGGGATCTTCCATCTTCGCTGCAGCTTGTGGGACCTTCAGCTGCTGCACGTGGAATCTTGGTCGTAGCTTGTGGGATCTAGTTCCCAACCAGGAATCAAACCCAAGCCCCCTGAATTGGGAGCACGGAGTCTCAGCCACACACCAGGGAAGCCCCCAAATAAATCTTGTCATTGATGATGTCGTAGGACTGATAAAGTAAGTTGCACTCTTAGTAAGTATTACATACACTGTTCTCACTCAGGGTTGAATTTGCTCTGAATCTTGTAACTTTCCCCCTACTAAATAGCATGGGCTTTTTGAGCAAAAGCAGACTTTGTGCTCCTTCTCCAAAATTTCTCTCTCCCTCTTACACACACACACACACACACACACAAAGAAAGTCACACATACACATACACACACACACACTTTCTTCCTCTCTCTCTCTCTTTCTTACATGGCCTGAATCTCAGTCCAAACTAAAAATATCCTGCTTATAAGGTGCTCTGCCTTATGTCGAGTCTCTGTTTACGCTGAATTTAGCCATGGTGAGCATCTAACTCACGTGTTAGCCTCCTTTCTTCTGCTAAGTTACTGTTAATCTATTTTATTTGATTCCATTGTACCCACAGCCCTTTGGAATTAGTTGCCTTGACTTTGGGGAAGAAATGAACCTTTCTTATATATCTGGTGAATTGAACACGTTAATTATGACTGCTACAATGAAAGTATTTCCATTTTGTGGGGGCAAGTTGGCTACCCTGGGCCAGTACTTCTCAAACTGTGCAGTCACCTCAGACACGTGGTGTATCTTCTTGGAGCATCAGTTTTAGTTGAAAGGGAAGTAAGTAGGACCTTGGAAAATGTAGATAAAAACCTTTGGAAGAGTATTTTTAACTTAAAGCACATGTGTAGATATCATGGACCAGAATAAAATATTCATTTTTTTATTATATGAGTTTTTTATTGTCATGGGTGTGGCCCTCTTACCATCTTGCTGTGGTATCCTCTTTGTCTTTGGATGTAGGATCTTTGCAGGCAGGTTCCAGCCTTTTTATCAATAGCTGTTCAGCCGTTAGCTGTGATTTTGGTGCGCTCACGAGAGGAGATGAGCTCAAGTCCTTCTACTCCACATCTTGTCTCCTGCCCTCCGTTTGCATTTTTAAACTGGTGACAGACCTCTCACGGCGACTCACGGCTGAAGCCCCAAGCTTGGAGCAAGACTTTGAATCCCAGCTCCATCCTTTTCTAGCTGGGGCCTTGGGATGCTGCTTCACCTCTGTGTCTCAGCTTCTCGATCGTCTCATCTATAAAACGGGAGTAATAGCGAGGTCACTGTGAGAATAAAGGACAAGCACACGTTGAATGCGAGGAGAGTGGCCAGCGCAGTGCCACATGTCCCGGGCCATTCTCTCCTCGTCTGCGGGTGTAGACGTCTGAGAAGCCCTCCCGGGATTTTCTTCAGTGTACTGCCCTGCTTGTCTTCTGTTGGTCGTTTGTAATGTCTCAGGAATGCACATGTCTCAGGAAGGCACTGTTTTCTTTCTTTTTTTCCCTAACACCATTACAGACAACGACTGGCTGTTTTAGGAATTTGGGGAGTGAAGGGGGATGGCTCTCAGTGTCTCTCATGTTTAAAATGAAATAACCTAATAATTAGGAATGGCGTGACTTGGTTAGGATTTAAGAAATGGAGATGTGAACACTTTCAAAGTCTCAACTGCCTTTGAATCTCCTGCACATAAAAATATGAAATTTGCAATTAGAACTTTCTCTTGTAAGACTCAGGGGACGTGGAGTCTCATCTGGTTATGGCTCATTTGGGAATGGATTTTCTGACGCAAATGAGGTTAAAAAAAAACCCATAGTCTCTTTATTTGGTCAACATTATTTCTGCACTTTGTCTCTCCTTGTCAGCTTTAAAAGGAAGAGAAGAAAGCAAAGCACACTGCCAAAAGCTGGCAGTAGAATTTCCAGGGAACACAGTCTCCCCGGCCACAGCAGCGTTTGAAGTGATTGCCCAGTGAGGCCCCATGGGCCGTTCCTGATGCCTCAGGGCACAACGCAACGTGAAGTGAAGCCAGGCCCAGAGGCTGGAAGCCATGGGGCAAGACACAGGGTCCCTGCCCCCATCCCTCCTTGCTTCTTCCGTCCGACACTGTCTTTGGCTCAAAGATCAGGAACCCGTGAGCAGACACTCCAGTTGACCACGGACACGGCCGTGCCCGACTCCAGCTGCCCGTCCACAGCTAGAACCTGCACGTGGCGGGCAGAGGGTGGGCCGCGGGGGCTGGAGGGCAGCGGGCACGAGCCTCTGTGCCCCTTTCACCCACAGGCCTTCCAGGGGCAGGTTCCCTGCGACCAGAAATAAAAGCAAGCGAATGTGGACCATAACTCACAGTGATTGGGTGCTTCTGAGTTGCCCTGGGGAGATTTCTTATGAGGATTTGTGGAGGCTGAGAAGCCCCTTAGGAAAGTGGTGGCTGCTCTCTCTCTGCACGCTGGAGCCCAGTAGAGTCAGTGTGTGGCTCAGTCTAAGTCCAGAGTTCTGCGAGCCAGGGGATCTAATGGTACAAACCCCAGTCCACGGGCAGGAGCAGATAGGGCACGATGTCGTGAGGTGTAGTGAGCTCAAGTAGTGAGGTGGGAGCAAAACAAATTCCTCCTTCCTCTGCCTTCCCCTATCCAGGGCTGGGACGGTGGACGCTGTCCAATCACATGGGGGGCGGCGGGCGGTGGGCAGGTTAGTCCACTGACTGCGGTGAGAGTCTCAGCAGGAAACACCCTAACAGACACACTCAGGAATCACGCTGACTCTAGGCACCCACAGGCGGTCACAGTGACTCACAGATTTAACCGCCACAAGTACTGGACGCTGGGCCATGTCGGCTGAGCCGGAGTCTGTCCTGGCCACTTGCTGTCAACGCACACAACTGGCACTTGTCCGAGGGCTGTGATGGGCCTGCCTGGGGGCCGGGGTGGGCACCGGGCTGGGCCGGGTGGCTGTGGGGAGCCGCGGCAGAAGGTGCAGCCCACGTGCCCGAGAGCAGCAGGGCCGCCTGGACGGGACGAGGAGGAGATTCCCCGAAGGCCGACGCTTGGCGCTGCATGCTCACGTCTGCCCCGTGCCCTGGGCAAGGCCAGTCGCCAGCCCAAACCCGTGTCAAGAAGAAAAGACACGCCTCTCTCTCTCTGTGCTCGGTGTCCTGATCCCTGCTCAGAACGAAGGCTCTGATTTACTGGGCACAGGCAGCAGCCCCACCCCAACTCCCACCTCTGCCCTCACCCCTGGTCCCCCAGCCCACTGCCTGCCAGGCATGGCCCTTGGGTGCCCCCCTCGGGCGGCCTATCCACACTGACGGGGTCAGACGTGAGCAAGTGAAGACCTGACGCCTTGCCTTAACCCAGAACACCTCTGAGGGGCCACTGAGCTCCAGAGCACCCCGTGGGATTGGCTGAAGCCTCAGTTGCATCTAACCAAGCCCCCTTTCCTCTCTGCCCAATCTTGCTTCCTCACTCTGTAAAAAGTTCTGCTGCTTAGAGTACTTCTCAGAAATGACCACACACACACATCTAACCTTTGGAGAAATTCCAAAGATGGTGGCAGAGTGCAAGGATGGAGTGTGGGAAGAAGCACGGCAAGAATGTGATTTCCTGCAAATCACATCTCCGCATTCAACAACTAAATGCATCCCAGCTTAGAACAAAAGTGTGTGTTAGCGAAACACTGAACCTGTTTCTGAAATATCCTAATACATGCTCAGACCCTTGACTAGAGCTGGAACTCAGTTTGCAAAGGTAGGTGGTTCTGAAACATTGTGGGCAAATGGAAACTTTGTAAATTGAATTAAATATTAAGTGCATGGTGGAAGTTTGGTATTCTACAGTGAAAAAGGCACAGAATTGTTTTGTGGACTATCACTTTAATCACACCGATTTTTCTATGTTGGGTTTTCTGTATTAGCATTTACTTCATTTTTATAAACCCATTCCACTTTTTTATAATTCCATGTGTGAAATTACAGCACATTGTCATCAATTTGGGGGCTTCGATTCTTAGTAGATTTCCTTTGCATCAACAGATAGGAATCTCAGCAGATTAAGGGACTCTGGAGAAAGATATGGATGCAGGATTGTTGGATACAGAGAACAGAGCAAAAAAACATCTCAAGAGAAGAGATTTTTGACCAAGTAGTGTTTCTCTGGTAAACAAACAGGAACAGAGAAAGAAGACAATTTGCTCTATTCAGGGATGGTATTGATAACACAAATGTAGCAGGAGGATAACTCAGCAAGAAAACCAAGAATTCTGGTAGGATAGTCCTTACATGGCCGTTTGCAACCCCAGGGGTCAGAAGGGCTTGCTGGGTGGGAAAGCAGATAGGAAGCCTGGTGCTTGGGGGAGCTGGGCCCCCATTTGAGAGCAAGAAACAGGCTCATGATAGCGATCTATTTGGTCATTTCACGGTTTGTGAGTCATACTTACATTCATTTTCTTCCTACTTTCCTGGGAAGGTGAGGTTTCTGATTTGCGTTTTCTATGTATTCAGGGTTCAGCAAATATTTCTGGTATTTTAAACAGAGAGAATTTCACATCAGGGAGTTGTTACGCAGGAGATTTCAGAGTAGAGAGGCCTGGAGTGGGAGAGAGAGGCATCTTCGCGGTCATTCGCAGTGAGACCCTGCTGCCCCTCCCTAGAGCTTGAGGGGAAAGGACCGGGTTTGCCAGGAAGAAACTGGGGCTGCAGTGGTTCTTGCTGCAAGAGCAGGACCCGCGGGAGAGGCAGCCACCGCTGCAGACAGTGCCCGAGGCAGCCGAAGAGAGGGCAAATGCCCTGCTTCTCCTCTCCCGCGCCAGCGCCTCCCTCAGGGCCTCCCTCCGGCTGAACTGAGGCAGAAAACAGAGGGCGAAGGAGGCTGGGGGCTGCGCCCCGCGTGGCCCCAGATGGGCTGCGCCTCAGCGCCCTTCTCTCCAGGACGCGTCTGCCTTCTCCGTGGGGAGGCTCTGATCCCCGCCTCCTGCCTCTCCAGGCTTCCTGACAGCGGGGTCCCAGCGGGCTCAGGGGTCCCAGCAGGCACAGCTGGTGGGGGCAGGGGCAGATGGGCAGTGGGAGGAGAGGTCGGATTACCCTTGCCCGCCCTCCCGCTGCTGCGCGGCCTCATCCCGGCAGGCCACCCATGAGGCTGGCGGCCTGTCCACTGTGGCTGTAGGTCCCACGAGGACCCCCGGGACAGCCATGGTTCCTGTCCGCTGCTGGCCTCTGCGTGTCCGACCATCCCCGATGGTTCCCCTGATCCTGCGTACACCTGTGTCCGCGCGCCTTTACTCATCGCCTCGCCGGAACAACTGGGGCTGCATTCTGTTTCTTGCCAGAGCTCTGGCTGGTGTCCTGACCTCCTGCAGTCTTTTCCAAACTCCTTGCAAGTGTCATGCGCTCCCGCTGCCTGGATCAGCAAACGTGGAACAACAGCAAGAGCAAGGAAGCCAAATGCGGTTTTATTTCTGGTTCCGTCACTTGGTGACTGGGTCACAGGGTGGGAAGCTTATGTAACCTCCTGAGCTTCAGTTTTCCAGTCGAAAAAGGGGGACAGGGATGGGTTTCAGGTGAATTAAGTGGGAAAAATCTGTCCTGAGCAATGTGTTCCAGGCCTCCTTCGCCTATCACCAAACAGGATCTCACATTCCCTTCATATGGAAATTTTTATGGCAGGAATCCTGTCATACTTGGTTGCAGGCAATGAACTCCCTTGGAAGTATTTCCAGCTATCTCTAGAAGTTCCTGAAGACGCTCTCTTGCCAGCTGCCTGTGCCGATGCTGCTGAAGGCCTCCCCCTTGCTCTGTGCTCCTGCCCCGTCTCCCACATGCCCACCGTCTGCTGGCAGGGCCACTGGGTGCTGCTTGGTCAAGACTGGAGTATCTCCAGGATCACCGTCCACCATGAGAACACGGCCCACGAGGGTCAGCTCCCTGGCCCTTGGATGCCTCTCTGTGGCCTCGCGCCGGGGGACGGGCTCCACTGGCTGGAAGCCGTCTCAGCCCGAGCGCAGGGCCTCCGGCACTTGGTTTCACATCAGAACAAAACAGCTCAGAGGGCTTCTGGACCTCGCTTCCACCCTGTCTTCTTCCGGGCTCTCATGGCAGGGCTGGGTGGAGACGCACGCTGTGCCATCTGCCCCACTATTCTCTATTCTCCCCGCTCCTCAGCCCTTCTCACCCGCTCCACCCCCTTTCCTCTTCCATTTATCAAACTGAAGCTGCCATACGTGTCAACCACTGTGGGTGGGGTGGGAGGTCAGCTAGGGAGGCAAGGTCTAGATGCCCTCTGTTTACGAGCCGGAGTCCGCGCCAGTGATGCACAAATGATTCCTGGTACAATACTGGCACGCGGTGTGACCTTATAATGGTAGACGCTATGACCACAGAAATGGGAAATCCCATTTCCTGCCATTTAGATGTTGCCAGCTCCAATACTTTGGCCACCTGATGTGAAGAACTGACTCATTAGAAAAGACCCTGATGCTGGGAAAGATTGAAGGCAGGAGGAGAAGGGGACGACAGAGGATGAGATGGGTGGGTGACATCACCGACTTGATGGACATGAGTTTGAGCAAACTTTGGGAGATGGTAAAGGACGGAGAAGCCTAGAGTGCTGCAGCCCATGGGGCTGCAAAGAGTCGGACACGACTGAGCGAGTGAACAGCAACGAGGTTTTCCAGGGTTCCGTTTAAAAGAACTTCTTACAAGAATCTGTTCCCACGAAGTGTTCTCTGCCTGTGTTAGCTTCCCAGGGCTGCAATTACAACTTACCAAGAACTGGGTGGCTTAGAACAACAGAAATTTATTCTCACAAGTTTGGAGGCTGTAAGTCAAATCGCTGTGTAAGGGATCCATTTTCTCCCTGTCGCCTCTCCCAGGCGTCCGCTGGTCTCTGCCGCTCACGGTGCTCCCTGGCTGACGGCTTCATCCCTCTGCTCATGCCTCTGCACCGTATGCCACCCTCCTCCTGGGTCTCCGTCACTCACGGCTTCTCTTTTCTTCTTCTTCAGTCACAGCAGATTAAGGTCCATATCAGTGACCTCACTTTAACTTGATTGTATTTGCAAAGACCTTATTTCTGAGGTACCAGGGGTTAGGATTTTAACATATTTTTTGGGGGCAGGACATGATTCAACCCATAAGACCCTCTGATCATCTAAAATTGAATGGCAATAATCTTATTTCTCTTTTGACAACCATAACAGTCTAGCTTATTTTATAGTAATTTATCTTTTTATTTCTTCCTACAGCACTGAACACTCCAAAGAAGAAACTGAAGTCTCCCAGTCGTGTCCAACTCTTTGTTACATGGACTGTAGCCTGCCAGGCAGCTCTGTCCATGGGATTTTCCAGGCAACAGTATTGGAATGGGGTGGTCATTTCCTTATCCAGGGGATCTTCCCGACCCAGGAATCGAACCCGAGTCTCCAGCATTGCAGGCAGACTCTTTACCATCTGAGCCGCCAGGGAACACCCCAAAGACATGTCTCACCCACTTCCATGTCTCTGACAATACCTACCTGGCCATAGTAGGGTTACTAGTTAATAAGTCACTGGGCTCCCCTACGGACTCATGACCGATCCATCAGGCTAGAGCATGCTGCCACATGCTTGGGACACGTATTTCTGATTTCCTTGTGTTTTCAACCCTTTGGTTGATTTCTTTTCTTAAAAGAATATAGGTCAACGAGTTCCCTGGTGGCCTACTGGTTAGAGTTGGCGCTTTCACTGCCCTGGTCCAGGTTCAGTGCCTGGTTGGGGAACTAAGATCCCATGAACTGAGAACTGTAGCCAAAAAAAGAATATAAACTAGAAGGATGGTTTTGGCCAGCTGAAATAGCTGGTTGCAGTCTGCCTGAGATGGTTAAATATTTATTCTTTCTGGAAGTGAACAGGGGGCTTCATGCTACCAGGAAACATCGTTTGTTCCCAGTTCATGATGCTTTTTTCTTCATTTCAGTTTTCAATGTTCTGATGATGGGCTTAGTTACAGTTGCTATGGGAGTATTTTGATATTTCCTGCAGTGCTGGGTGGGGCGGTGCCTGGAGACATTTTAGTGTGGTTTCTGACACTGCCCAAGCTGGGGTTGCTTCATTTGCTAGTTTTCTGGCCTCCTAACTGGTTGTCATCAGGGGAAAGATGCATGTTTATTTTTGTCTCCTGATTTATTATGGATTTTTTTTCGCATTGGTTCTGGAGTGCTCATCATCTTAAATAATCAACCCATTATTTCACAGAGTGTAATGACAGAAACAGCCGCATTCTCTTGACATTGAATAAATTGATAAACAGATGCAGTCCCTCTGATATCAGTGTGGTGAGGGGCAAGCAAAGCTTGTGAAAGCACTTGAACTCTTTTAAGGATGTACAGTTTAAGAGCTGAGCTTGAGGAATGGTTGGAGAGAAAACTGAGCTGTCTAGAGACTTGGATTCTGGTCTCTTCTGTGAAAGGGAAGCAGTAATAGTGATACATGTCCTGCTTGCTTGATAGGATTGTTATAAGGATAATATGATTAATGTCTATGAAAGCATTTGTAAGCTTCACAGTGCTATAAATGCTCACAATATCATGTGCATCACAGCAAGTAGAATCTCAATAGTCTTGGTTCTGCCTGTGACCTGGTGAGGGGGAAGCAACTTAAATATCCCATGAAGACCTGATTTGGCCTCTTTCCTAAACCACCTGAGCAAACAGGCCATCTCACAGCATTTCAATATCATTTTGTATGTTAACCTTGTCTATTCTTTCCTCCTCTTTAATTTTGGGGAGGGAAGGGACAATGTCACTTTTATTATTGTATTGAAAAGGAGGAAAAATCTTGATGGTTTGGATATCTTTTTTCAAGTTAGTTGTTTAATATACAGTTTCTGTGATGCCCCTGTTGCTTGTTTGGCATGTTGGCATGCACCATTATAATGTTACTTCTCTAAAAAGTGTGTTTATGTGTGTGTTTTTAATGTACTTTGTTTTAGGATAGACACTAAGTGACTTACCAGACACATTTTAGGCATGCAGACTCTGATCATTCTAGGGTAAGTTCTGAATGTGTTTAGTGATGTATTTTAGTTTTTAAAAAATCTATCAATTTAGTCTAGAGATGCTCCAGAAACTGATGTCATTGCAATTCAACAGAATTCTTTATAAAGAATTTCCTGCCTGACAACTCTAGATATATTTAATATGCAGCTTCTCTTGTCTCATTTTCAATTTGCTCCTTCAGAGTCAGTCTTGTGTGTTGAATGCAATTGGTTCCCAGACACTGACTCATTTTCAGAATACGAGTACATTTTTTTTCCGATTGACTTTTTCCTGCCAGTACGTCATCCAACTCTTTTTAAAATACTGTCAGAATGTGGTCAACTCATCATTAGTAGGGAACAGGCTTTTTGCCTACTCTTATAGAAATAGCATGAAGTCAGATAATTTGATTTTTTAATTATAAGGAAAAAAAAGAAAAGCCAGAAACCTAACTAATTTCCAAGCCTGGGACTACTATTCTAAGATGCTTGAACAAATGAGACACCCAGAAACAAAAGCAAGATCTGTAATTTGCATGGTTTTGAGTAGAATGCAGCAAATTTTCCATTTTACTTTGAATATAAAATAGCTGTAATATGAGTCAATATAAATAAACTAAGGAGCCAAGGCTTCATGGAAGATGACAGCAGTTTCATGTGGGCAGACAAGTGTTTAAGCATCTTGACATGAAAACTTGGCCATATGCTCAGGACTATTTCTCTGTATTTAGAATTTTGGTGCAAATTCCATCTCTGTATCTAGAAAACAAACCCAGAAGTCTTACTAAGTCAAGAATAAACAACTCATTTTACTTAGGTTCTGATAATGTCAGCTCTAAAAATACGCAAATTTTCAGTTCTACTAAATCAAATAATCACCTTGACCATTTTGCAGCCATTATTGATTACTGGGCTGACCTCAGTGGCCATTTGTTTAAGATGAAGTCTAAAGTTAGCTGAATGTACAATATGTAGGGGAGATTTGATTCAACCACATGGATAATTCATCTGCAAAATGTTCTTCATAAATTACCAGGGAGAAGGATAATTTGTGGCTGTTGAATGATCAGTTTACCTGCCTCCTTCTTCCTGTTTACTTCACCTGTGTATGTAGCCTTTATTAGAATAATATTTTGTAGGGTAAAAATAGTTTACCTTGCCTATTTATAGAAAAGTTTCTATTGTCCAGTTCAAAACTTTGAAATAGGTATAGTAACACCTCTAAAACAATGTAAGGTTGTTGTGGTGATTAGTGGGATGATGCAAAGGATTGA